GGTACAGATACAAAATGAAACGGCTAAGCACAAAAACAGTAAAATACAGGAGGTGGCGATCCATTGTACCCACAGAAAATCTGAACAAAGAAGTTCAGGTTACACCGAGACACTTACAGACATACTTACAGTATCTCTGCACAGACACAGCCCCTTACTTGAAATCGCTCTTGGACAATGTTTAGTCTCTCCTCTGTTCAGTTAATCCTGTGAGTCCTTTTCAGCTACACCTACAGAGTGTGTATGTATGCATGCAAACAAAGGATAGAGAGACATTCTACTGTCCTTAGTAATGCAGTATTTTATTGTAAACTTGACTGGCTGTGACAGTTCGTTAGATACTCTCTTCTACTGACTCCTGCCCTGACCCGCCTCCAGACATGACAAACATTTTTTTGTGTTATAGACCACAGGGTTGACTATAGGCGTGTTATCAGATTATGTGTGCTTCCTTTCCTTCCCTTGCGTCTTTATTATACACATGTAGGCCTATCTGTTTACATTCCTGACTGCATTCACAAAGACCAACAGGTCACCAAATAGTGTGGCTGGTGAGAAACTGCACAAAGCACAATACTGACAAATCAGTAAAATCTTCAATAGCACAGCGAGAGACATTACACAACCACACTTAAAGCTGGGGTAGGCAATGTTGGAGAAAATAGACAGAGACCTCTAGATTTTGGAAGAATCCAACCCCCCTCCCTTCAGGCCTCAGGCCAAAACACATTTTCATGCGCAGTGAGTGCATGGGCAGAGTGCACGCAGGTAGGGAATGAAATAATTGGCAGTTCTTATTACAGTCCTGCGACAGGCAACAGATACCAGATTTTCAGGCAGAGCATTTGATTTCTTGAGTGCTGTCGGGATGTAAAGAGAATTTCAACGAATTTTACAAAAACACTTCTGAAATAAATTGCCTAGCCCGGCTTTATCACAACTTACCCCAATAGCTTTTAACATGACAGGGGCCTTACCAAATAATTAAGACGATAAGGGAACCTCAAATTAAGACAAAGTGTTGAACGTAACTGAAAAACACATGTACAGCAGGTTCTATGAGCAAAGTTAGCTTGCACCACTTTAGCTGTGGCATTCTTACCACGCTATTCTACAACACTCAAAATATGCAAAGTATACATCCCAAATGGTTGCAAAAACTCGACATGGCGGGGGTCTATCAGCCAAACTCAAGGCTTCAAAACGGCAGTCCACAAACCAACGATGACGTCACCACGACTACGTCCATTTCTTATATAGGAAGTCTAACGGTACCACCTGAGTCTAATCTGTACATCACATGATATTGATAAGTGTTCAGTGACAGTGTTGTGCTGCCCTATTATTAGCATAATAATAGAGTAATGGAGATTCCCATTATATAGCATTGAGCTAACTCTGGAAGCGCTATTTTATTAATATTAATTATGTATCGATATGATTGGCTGGAATATCGATACAATATGATGGAAAAATGTACGATATATTGTATCAATTTATTGTCACACCCCTATAAATAATAAGTGTAAGTTATTTGTACATATCGCTCCACTACTGCGCACACAAAGGTGTAATTTGATTATTCACAGGGTAAATGCCCATTGCAAACATTACTGCTTTTTGCATGAGGTGTCCAACACAAACAGTTAATCCAAACTAAAGAAAATGTTAACACGTCACTTTATGTTATGTGTGTGCTTTAGAAGTTGGTGTATTTTCTCAAGCGCTAAAGAGAAAAGAAACTGGGTTCATGTTTCAAAACTGTTTGCATGTGAAAATGAAGGTATATACCGCTGATAACTCATTGTATTAAGGGGAAGGTTAAAACTTCAACGACGTCTTTTTCTTTTACTTTCCTAATATGTGTGTCTCTCCTCACAGTGTCTGTAGTAAGGACAGTAGACAGTCAGAAAGTCTGTTAGCTGATAGACAAAGAATACAGGCAATAATCTGAAATATCCTACATCAGGTTATTTTTGGGTCATTTCCAAAATATTAGTTCTTTTTGTCTTAAATGTGCCGCAGCTGCTGTTTTGGTGGAACAGTTAAAAATAAATAAAGCTCAATAAATGAAAATAGACTAACTTTCCAAAGTGAGTTTGGCATTTCTTACAATACTTAAATAGATTCCTGCATCAAATAAATGTAATTATATTTCTGACAATAGACAGTAATTATTTGTATTTTATTTATACTGATGTAACTTGATGCATTCAACATTTTCTTCCTATTCAAGACAATTACAATTAGTGCAATTACATACTGAATTTTGTGTAAGAGTGGGTTTTAATTATTATTATTTTTTATTTCCAAATAAAATCTTACACACAGTATTGCATTATCAATGTTTCAAAATAGTATCACTACAGAATTTGTCAGAATTAGCTTCTTATGGTCTTAAACAGGCATAGCTAGTGTTTTGGTGGAATATTGATTTCATTTCTTTCTGAGATTGGATAAGTATCTGATGTTTTACAGAAATGTACAAGCAACCATTTGTGGTTTTGCCCTAGAAATATTTGTATATGTATATAATTTATTTAGTTTAAGATTTGAACTTAATGTACAAAAAACAGTATCATACTTTGAATTCAGAGTGATTAAAGTACTGCACCTGGGTGAGTGAAGTTGAAAAACGTAATGCTGGTTCTGATAGAAAGGTGTCCAAACACAAGTGCATTCACAGCCTCAACAGGGCAGGGCAGCAGAAGGGAGACTGACATTATGACCACCTACTGGAAAAAAGTTAAAAAACTAAGTCAAACCTCTTTCCTATCACAAATACAAACACACTACTCATATAAATCCCAGTAATTCATTATAACTTTAAATAATGTTTTTATTATTATGCCTGATTTTAAGAAGTACTGCAGACCCCTCAGCACCACTACTGTCTGCACTGATGATTAGGTAAGGCTCAACCCATCTACGTCAAATGTAACAGAATTCACATAGTATGCTGATAGTACATTTATACTCCTAACATGCTTACTACAAGTATATTAAAGATATATTCTCCTGAGCTTTAACATACTTCTCAAAAGTATACTTTGAATAAATTGGTAATAAATATATACTTAATTAAACTTTTAATAAATATGCTTAAATAGAAGAATATTTTTCACAACATTTAGTCTATTTATTAAAAATATATTTATTTAACTCTTAGTAAATACTATTTTGGTGTACTTTGTGGAAGTACACTGTTAAACAATTACACTTTTAGTGGGTTAAAAATATATTTATGCCAAACAAGCGTCATTGTGTAGGCTACTGCAAAATATTGTAAATATTTATGTAATTGCCACATGTTTCAGCCTGATTTCCAGAAGTATGATTTTTAAAACATTTTTTTAACATTAAAAAATATTTTTCAAAAGCATCAGGTAAATAGCTAGTTGAGATCAGAGACCTCTTTCATAAGGGTAACCTGGCCCAGAAGGAAGCAGCACAACAACAACATAAAATATAGAAATAAGTATACTTTAAATCATAATGTAGTTATACTTGTGAACACGTGTACACAGGGGCGAAGTGTGTCCTCTCGCCTAGCGCAGTGCAACCTGACCAATCAGAATCAAGGTTTTCAAATCGACGACCCAATCGCACAGCGTGAAAGTCCGCTTCACGAAAATTAACGTGTTTACAGTCGTTGAGAGGGAAGCTATTTCTGGCCAGAAATCATTTTGTTTCTAAGGTTTCCTTTGTTTTACTTTACCGACTTGGACTTGGCGAAGGTGGACACCACAGACATAAGAAAAGAACTCAGAGGAGAAGAATATCCGGTCAGCTACCTGCAGAAGTTAAATGTGAAAACAGCTAAAGAGGCGTGACAGGCAAGGACAAGCAGGAGAGGACAGACCAGAGACTGCCAGCAAAAATAGTCTTTCTTGGTAAATTTATTATTGTTAGCAAGACAACACAATTGTGTAAATTAACTAAAGTTGAGCTCACTCTGGGTTTGGAAATTTTCCTTGGTGGATAGCTCTGGTGTGCATTAGCTAATTAATATTTGTTAGCTAACGTTAGTTTGGTTTTTAATAGCTTCATAATCGAGACAGCGACTTTCGTCTGCCTTAAACAGTGTTGGGAGTAACGTTACAAAAGAAACGTGATTAATGTTACAGTAATGTATTGCTTTTTGCTGGAAGGCAGTTTTTAATGTTAAAAAATTTCTGTAATATACAATCTCAGTAACCCTGTTGCTGGAATTTGATGCAAGAGATTTCAACAAGGCAGGCCTATGCATGTGTGTGTATGAGCCCTCAATTCTGCTTTTGCACTGTTAAAATGTCCAGTGAGGTTTTTATCAGAGTAATAAATGCAACTAATATGTTGCTGTCTGTGTGCTAAAGGTTCACATTTTTATAGTTTACCTTAATGCTCACATGTCCATGTTTACAGTAAGTTATTGGTCACTGTAATCATTATTCCTGCCCGTATAGTCTGTAAAGACATCACCACAGCTGTCATTTTTGCATTAATTAATTAATTAATTTAAAGTTTAGCTGAATTCACTGCAGCCATGGAGGGGGAATTATATGTATGAGGGACCCCCATGGATAACATTAATGATGGGATGTGTATAGTGTACTTTTCAGTAATACTGATCATATGTCATCATTTTACTTATTTTATTTTTATTTGAAGGTGTTTTGGTCAAGATGTGATACATGCTGCTGTACCTTTTAATGTACAGGAATTTATTTAAGTTTGCCAATTTTTTTTCAGTTTTGAAAAAAAGTATTTTGAAGAAATTATTTGTTTTTATATTTCACTTTTCCATATTTTGATATTTTAGGACTTAGTTTTTTCAGTTCCATGTTTTATGTTTTCAGAGTCTAAGCTTATTTTTTTTTTCAGCATCAAATCTTTTTTTTACAGCTTCAAGTCTTTTATTTTCACTTTCTAATCTATTTTTCAGTTTCAGATCAGTTGTTTTCAGTGGAAGACTCCCGATTTTGCGTGGAATCATGAGTGACAGTCTAACGAAGAAGAAGACTCTCCTCAGTCATGTTGCCTTCAAGAAACGTAGGCACTGCGAGAAGTGATTGGCAGTAAACTAAACTAAGTTCCCTTTAAAAAGCTGTTTTGGACAATACGTGGGACCAATTACACTATACGAGTAATAAATTGTGCCAGCTTGTGCAGTTCAGCAGCTACACTTTAAGAATGGACTTCTCCCACTTACACATGCGACCATGCTGTATTCACTCGCCATGGCGTCCGCAGCGCCAAGGCAACCCGCTGGCGCCAGTGCACAGGTAAGACGTGAAATATATGGTACGTTTTGAATAGATTCTTTGGTGACATTATCACCACAGTGGCTCATTATTTTATCGTAGGGACACACATAAAGGGAAAATGCGTTTGAGTTGGACAACTGGACAAAGCTGGAAATGAAGCATCGCTTGGATTAGCATGAACTAAGTTAACTTAGCTTCATCCTACTAAAGCTAGCTAACGTTAGTGTTGTGAATTTCACACTCATTTCAGTAACTAGCTCAAGTTTTTTTATGCCTTTAACGTGGATTTTCTTTGTTAACCTCAGTCAGAATGTCGACCATAACTCGACAGTGGCTGCAGCCGCTGAGCCTTATAAACGTGCTCACACAAACATCTCTCAGGGACAGCAAGAGCAAGGAAGAATGCAGGAACAGGGATCGTCATCTGTAGACCAAGAGATGGCCAGGTTTTAGGTGGAATTTTATTGTTCAAGTTCATTTTAAAGTCATTTAACTAGTTCATATTTTATATGTACATTTATGACCATATTTTAAAAAAATATTCATTTTTAAATCATGCAGATCTTTCCCTGGATTTTTCTTAAGAAAAAGTTACCTAGGAAAGCGAAAGATACAGAGTCCAAAGACCTATGGCACACCATATACAAAAACCTGGTTTCTATGTTTACCTGTTTAATTCAGAGACAACCCCAACCCCATCTGAAGAGTCTGAACTTGCTCAAGCAGGGCTTGGAAAAAGACATCTCACCATGTCCAGGGAAATGAGCCACGAGGAGGTATTACAGATCAAACTTTGCTCAAAACTTCTTATATTTAAAAGATGACCCTTTTATCCTAGTGGTAGGATATTCTTCAAGCATTGAGACATCACTTAGTTATGTTCTCTTAGTTCTTTAGACTACTGCAAAATGAGTAGATGCAGGGAGTGACAGGTGGATGGCTACTCTACAAGGCTACGGGTGGAGAAAAGTAGATATAATATCCATTGTCATTCAAATAACTTGGCCAAACATATCTAGTTGAAATAATCCAAACATTGTTGCATTTACAGGTGGTCAGGGTAAAAGGAGACTGATAATGATTCCTCCTGACTCTGATGGATACACCGGAACCCTTCTTCGCAGTGTCACAGGGGCAGGGAAGAACACCCTGTATATTGTGCCTTTGCAGCATGAGTTTGACCTAACTCCACTACCTCCAGATGCCATTGAATTCCGAAGTATGCCAAAAGCACAATGTCAAACTTGCAAAGTCAGTTTTCTTTTGCACATTTTGGCCCTTCATGTTCAGGAGTGCATGGAGTCTCAGTCAGCAGGAGAGGATATTGAGGTAAGCTATGTAATACATGTGATGTTGCATTGTACAGCAACTACTGCTGTTCAATGAGTTACAACAGAATATTTTCACAACGACATCCAGATAGTTTCAATGACAGCCCCCCCCTGTACACCATGACACCAAGACATCTTTTGAAGAGGTACAGAGTTAAATGTTATTGTGTTGCAATGTGAAATGCTAACTGTTCTGTATGAGACTGTTGCTAATAGTCCAAATGTTCTGTCTCCAATAGAAAGTTCCATGTCCCATCTGTTTCTTGAAATTTACACCACAGTTTGTAGAGATCCATGCTAGCTTGTGTGGAGAAAGGTAATTTGTATGCGGTACTTTTATGTTCATTTTAAATGAATATGTAACTTGAGTACTTGTTTTTTCTATACGTAATATGTCTCACATGTGCTTTTGTAGGAAAAGGACAATCTTAAGATGGCTGAGACACCTGCTGCGAGCCAGAACAATGGAGAGGAGCACATCAAAAGGTAAATACTGTGTTGTCTAAATACATAAGCATCTTCATCCTACACAGATCTTAATTCTACAGCTTTTGTGGTCAACATTAGTAGCTATTTATTGATTCTAAGTTTTGTTTGGCAGTGCACAAGATCGCTTACGTAATCTGTATTCTGCGCATGCGTTGGCGTCTGTAGCTACCTGTCGGAAGCTCCGTCGTAAACCGGACTCTTATCCAGTTTTAATCCACACTTTTTCGTTACTTTTTTATATCCTTTTTATTTAACTTAAGTTAAAAACTTACGTTTTACATGGGTTAAGGATTCAGGTCATCCGACATAGATTTTAAGCTAGATGACCGTACACAACAAAGCTCCGGTGACTATGCTAGCCGAGATAACTCTGCCTCATGAGGACTGCACACTCCTTAAGAAATCAAACAAAAAGATTGCTGACCTTATGGAAGACATCCGACGACTTTCAGAGGAACTCAAAGGTTCCCTGCTGACTGGCTTTATGGATGTGGCTTCAGTACAAGCCAAACAGATTGTTTCTCTTAGTGGACACCGTGCTATGGGATCCCTCAATCCTTCCCAGGCTTTCCTCCTGCTCAATTCCGATCAGTCAAATTGGGCTGAAGTGGTGGTCCGTGGCTGCAAGAGAGGCTCGGACGGGGCTGCCTCTCCTCCGCACATCGGCCTCTCCAACCGCTATGCAGCCCTGTCTGACGACACTCCGGTCCAACCAGCAGATGCACCTGCGGCTTCGAGTCTCCCTGATACGGATCTCTTTCGGCGGACAGTGCCTGACGACACTGTTGCATCTCCTCCACCGCCTACATCTCCTGCACTGGCGGCAAACCGTGATCAGCTGGGCCGTCATCCCGGTCAAAAACCTCCGCTTCCCAACGTAGGATCCTGAAGGAGGCTGTGCTCAGACGCTCCGGAGGCCGTCTCTACCCTGCACCGGCAGGTAGCCCTTCTCTCAGGTCTGTTACTGCTGCTCCAACACAACACTCGGCAGCTCACACACTCCATCCTCAGTCCGCACGCAGTGTTGAAGCAGATTCTGCTCAGTCCTGCTCTGGAACCCCACAACCGGCATCTCCTCGTCCTCTTTTCTCCCCAACCACACTAATAATTGGTGACTCCATAACCAGAAACATCCGTTTTTTTTAACGCTACAACTCACTGCTTCCCCGGTGCCACCACGGCTGACATTTTAAAAAAACTCCAGGACCTGATGCCGTCGCTCCCGTCCTCCATCACAAGAGTGATGGTCCATGTCGGAACAAATGACACAGCTCTTCGGCAGTCTGAGCTGACAAAATCAGATTTTAACCGTCTTCTTAACTTTTTAAAGCAGTGTGAAAACTGCCTTTTATTGCAAAGATTCTAGAAAGAATTGTGTCCAAACAGCTGCTCACTGTACTGGAAAATAACATGGTTTTAGGAAGTACCACAGCACTGAGACTGCCCTGCTTAAAGTCACCAATGACCTTATAATGTCTGCTGATGAAGGCATGTGCTCAGTCCTAGTACTCCTGGACCTTAGCGCTGCTTTTGACACCATTGATCACAACATCATGTTAGACAGACTGAGACACTGGGTGGGGATCTCTGGTACTGCCCTAGAATGGTTTTCATCCTACCTGTCAAATAGGAAGTTTTGCGTGTCTCCTCGTTCTGTCCAGTTAAATATGGTGTGCCTCAGGGGTCGGTCTTAGGACCCATTTTGTTTTCCTTGTATCTGCTTCCCCTGACATATTATCCATAAACATGGCATTTCTTTTCATATTTATGCTGATGACACACAAATATACTTGCCCGTCAGATCCACAGACCCTGGAATGCTGAGTTCACTTAACAACTGCCTTTGTGAAGTCAAAAAATGGATGTCAAATAATTTCCTCCAACTGAACTCAGACAAAAAAGAAATCCTGGTCATTGGGTCCCAGCAGATACTGCCATCTGCTGGTTCCCTAGTAAATCACATTAAGCGTGTGGCAAAGAACCTTGGTGTTTGGTTTGATAGTAATTTAAATTTCGAGCAGCACACCACAAAGCTTGTTCAATCATGTTTTTATCAACTTAGAAATATAGCAAAAATTCGATCTATGTTAACTTTTAAGGACACCGAGACCATTTTACACACCTTCATCTCATCACGCCTGGATTATTGCAACAGCCTTTTCACCTGTTTAACCCAAAAATCTATTGATCGACTCCAGACTGTCCAGAACTCAGCTGCCTCGATCTTATTTGACTTTATTTTATCCCTTTTATTTATTCTATTTTACTTATTTTATATTTATCTTAAATGTGTATTTTAGTCTTTAAAATGTTTTCTTGCTTTTATCTTGTATTGTTTCTGTATTGTTTTTTTGGTATTATTGTCTTTACACTTGTTAAAGCACTTTGTAGAGCACATTTCAAAAACAAGTTACAAATAAAGATTATTATTATTATTATATATTGTAAACAACTGTTTGCAATGTGTTATCACACAAAGACGACATCCTTTGAAAAGCAAGGAATCTCTGTATGTCTGCATTTGATTTTTGATTTTATTATTGAACAGTAACATGAATAAATGCATAATAAAATAATAATAATAATAATAAATTTTATTTATAATGCACTTTACATTTCAGGGAAATCTAATCTGATGTGCTACAACAACAAGGGGTTAAAAACAGTTCCAGAAAATAACAATCGCAATAAAACACCGTAACAAAAAATTTAAAACCATGACTGTTAAAAGGCCTTTTGAAATAAAGTCTTTAGGCCCTTCTTAAAAACCTCCAGAGTTTGTGGGGCCCTTAGGGGCTCTGGGAGGGCATTCCAGAGCCGTGGGGCGACTGCCTGGAAGGCCTGTCTCCCATGGTGGAGAGTTTAGTCCTTGGTTGGTGCAGGCAGTGGGTAGAGGTGGAGGAGCGGAGGTTTCTTAAGGTGGTGAGTGGGGTGAGGAGTTCACTGAGGTAGGCAGGGGCAGTTCCATGTATGCACTGGTGGGTAAGGAGACAGATTTTATATTGAATTCTGTATTGAATGGGCAGCCAGTGGAGGGATTTCAGGACTGGAGTGATATGGTCATATTGCGCCTCCTCGTCAGGACCCGGGCAGCGCAGTTCTGAATATGCTGAAGCTTTTGCAGTCTCCTGCCAGGGATCCCGACGAGGAGGGCATTACAGTAGTCCAGCCTGGAGGAGATAAAGGCATGGATCAACTTCTCAGCATCTAGTTGTGAGAGGGAGGGGCGGAGTTTGGCGATGTTTTTGAGGTGGAGGAAGGAGACCTTACAGAGGTGACGGATGTGAGTGTCGAATGTGAGATTTGAGTCAAGTCTGACTCCAAGGTTTGTAACAGAAGTAGACAGGGGAATGTGATGACCAAAAATGGATATACTGCTGAGGGAGGAGGACTGGGTTTGATGTGGAGTACCGATCAGGATGGCTTCGGTTTTGCTGCTATTTAGTTGAAGAAAGTTGTCAGCCATCCATGCCCTTATCTCCTCCAGGCAAACCTGAAGTGCAGATGGCAGAGCTGAGGGGAGTGTAGAGTCCATTTTTATGTATAGTTGTGTATCATCTGCGTAACAATGGAATGAAACTTTGTGTTTATGGATGATGTGACCGAGGGGTAGTAAGTAGATGGTAAAAAGGGTTGGACCAAGGACGGACCCTTGTGGCACTCCACAGCTGACTGTGTGGGGTGATGATTGGGACTGTCCTAGAGCCACATACTCCGTCCTGGCTGTGAGATAAGACTGGAACCAGCCTAGTGTAGTCCCAGAAAGTCCTACCATAAACTGGAGACGGTGAAGCAGGATGTTGTGATCCACAGTGTCAAAGGCGGCCGACAGGTCCAGTAGGAGGAGGAGAGATGGTAAGCCCTGGTCTGCAGTCATAAGTAGGTCATTTGTGACGCGGACCAGGGCTGTCTCCGTGCTGTGTGCTGCTCGAAAACCGGACTGAAATTTTTCATATATGTTATGGATGTGAAGGTGATTGTGGAGTTGGGCTGCAACAACTTTTTCCAGGACTTTGGACAAAAACGGCAGGTTTGAAATGGGTCTGTAATGAGCCAGGATGTCGGGGTCAAGTGACGGCTTTTTCAGATGGGGGCGGATAACTGCAGTTTTGAGAACTGGAGGGACCTGACCGGATTTGAGTGACTGGTTGAGGATTGCTGTGATCAATGGACTGATGGCTGTAATATTGGATTTTAATAATGATGTGGGGAGAGGGTCCAGTGAGCATGTGGAGGATTTCATGCACCTTATGATCCTCTCCACCTCTGTCTGAGAAATGCCTGAGAAGAGAGAAAATGTCTTTAATGGGTTTGTGGGACTAATTTTGGAGGAGGGTGAAACTGTGGCAGAAAGGTTGGATCGGATTGAAGCTACCTTGTTGGTGAAAAAGTCCATGAACCTATTGCACTGGTCTGTACTGGTGTCAAAATGTGCATATGTGGGAGGTTTGAGAAGAGAGTTTATTGACGCAAACAGCTTTTTTGAATTTCCAGAGCATCTGAGTTTTTTGAGAGAAATATTGAGACCTGGCTGAAAAATGTAATCCACAGTGACAATATACATTCTTCAGAACAGTCGAAGATAACACAAGAAAGTTAAAAACTTATTTCCATTGTGGAGCCAGTCTGAGAAAGATAGGCAAGGTAAGCTATTAAACAAAAATAAAAACAAATACATACCTGAACACAAAGACATTTACACCTGGGGTCCCCTCAAATTATTATGTTAAGAAATACTCCTTAATACTTTTTAAAAGGTGTACAAAAAGGTGTTTTGGCCAGAACAGCACCTAAATCTACAGGGTACTGTCAGTTGCACAGCCTGAG